ACTGCGGCCGAACATATATGAATACGTTCGAATGCCTTTTTGTTGAAAAATGCCCCAGCTACGTTTCAAAGATTTATAAACGACATATTGAGAGAATACATAAATAAAATATGTGTCGTATATTCAGACGACATACTAATTTTTTCAACTTCATTAGAAGAGCATATAAGCTCATTGAGAAAAATATTTTTAAAATTACAAGAAAACAAATTAAAAACAAGTAAGGAAGGGCTAAGTTCGGATGTAACCGAACATTTTATACTCTCGCAGAGTCAAATAGTATACTCGTTTAAGATTTCTTTGTGGATTGACTGATATTTTCGGTAGAAGGTCAACTATAGGCACTGGGGTCCACATATTTAGTACTTAGGGGCTTAAACAGTTTTGGTTCGATTTAGACAATTTTTGGCCACAAGGTGGCATACTTTAATCGCATTATTCACGCAAAGTTTTATCCCGATACAGTCATTGTTGTCTGATTTGCATAGTAGAAAGTGAAAAAATCAGATGGAATTTAAAATGATGTTATATGAAAAGTAGGCGTGGTTGCAATCCGATTTCGCCTATTTTCGCCTATTTTCGCACTATGACATAAAAACATGAAAAAAACGTTATGCACCGAATTTTGTTGAAATCGGTTAAGCAGATCTCAAGATACGGGTTTTCACCTAAAAGTGGGCTGTGCCACGCCCACTGTCTAATTTTGAACGCGGTTCCTATAAAGTCATCTTATACCATCCCAGAGATAAAATTTAATGGCTCTGGCGTGTTTAGTGCTTGATTTATCGCGCTTTTAGTAGTTTTTAACAGTACCGTTATATGGGGAGTGGGCGGAGTTGCCACCTGATTTCCATTTTTTTCACACCGTCAATAGAAGTGCTAAAAACATTTGCTTCCAGTAAATTTTGTTATTATAGCATAAGCGGTTTAGGAGATATGCACATTAAACCTATTAGAGGGGGGACCACGCCCACTTAAAAAAAATTTAACGGCAGATGCCCCTCCCTAATGTGATCCTGTGTATTAAATAACTTGTCTTGTATCTTATTGCGGAGCTTAGTTGTGGCAATTATTTGTTTTTGATTAATGGCGTTTTGTAGGCGTGGCAGTGGTCCGATTACGCCCATCTGCAATTTTTACTCAATTTAGAGCTTGCACGGACGGACGGACGGACAGACAGTCGCCCGGATTTCAACTCGTCTCTTCATCCTGATCATTTATATATATATATAACCCTATATCTAACTCGATTAGTTTTAGGTGATACAAACAACCGTTAGGTGAACAAAACTATTATACTCTGTAGCAACAAGTTGCGAGAGTATAAAAATAGAGGCAGATAAATGCAGATTTCTTAAAAGAGAAACAAAACACACATTAACAAAAGAAGACACCAAGCCTAATCCAGATAAAATTGTAGCATTTCGAAAACTACCAAAACCAAAACCTGAAAAACAATTGAAAGGATTTTTAGGAGCAACAGGATATTACAGAAACTACATGAACGATTATTCAAAAATAGCTTATCCCATTATAAAATATTTGAAACACAATACATTGAAAGCTTTGAGAACTTAAAGTCATTAATTTCATCTCAGCCAATTCTAAAACTCCCAGAGTATGATAAAGAACTCAGTATCACAACTGATGCTAGTGACTATGCCATTCGAGCAATACTTTCACAGCAAGGTCAACCAGTGTTTTACATTTCAGGAACACTAAATAAAGCCTAGCAAAAATACTCGACTACGGATACAGAATTTTTAGCAGTAATTTTTTAATCACATATTTTCGACCATATATGTGTATATAGCAATAAAGTTAAAATAATCACAGATCACTGTCCAATCTTGTTAATAAATATAAGGGAAAGGGATTTTCTCAACGTCATCAGAGGTGGTTATTGATATTGCAGGAATACAACTTTGAAATTGAATAAATTATGTTGTAGATTTCTTGAGTCGAATTGAGAACTCATCAAAAATTAAAGAAGGTAACGACAATGAATCAAACCGGGAATTGTCAGAAACAATTCATGCAACAGATGAAGAACTGCTTGAGCACTTCCCAATTAAAGAATAAATTGTAAATTAAAACAAAATTCAAATTATATTGACACATAGCCCAAAAGCTCAGATGCAAGGAATCCATGGAAGAAATATAATTGAAATAAACCCAATGGATGAAGAAGAAGAGAACAAGGAAACCTTAAAAACATGTATAAAAAGAAGTGGAGTAGTGGGAATATTTTCATAAGTGTCTGAAGCAGACTAAAATACAGAAATTACTCATTGAAATGTTTGCTCAGGATAGGAGTTTAAATTTTGTAAAATACACAAAAAGAGCCTGAGAAATAAAAGAAGAAGAGAACTCCGAACAATAAAAATGAAATAATTCATATAGACATATTCGATTTCAACAAACAATCATTTGTTACAGCGATTGATAAGTCAACCAAATTTGCAGCAGCTTACAGAATAACAGATAGAAACTGGAGAGCTAAAAAGACAATAATTATAGAACATTTTGCAAAATTCGGTAAACCTTAGAAAATTATTATGGATAATGAATTTAGAGCAGAACAATTAATACAATATTTAATGCCGAAAAATTTTCTCCAAGGGACGCCAAAGAAAACATTTGTACTCATATCAAAACAGAGAAGAATACATGGAAAACAGAGAAACAGGGCAGATTAAAAACTACAAAAGAGTACGGCATAAAGATCAACCATATTACCGAATTAATCTACTGCAAAATGTTCATCCCGCAAATATAAAAAGACCAATGAAATTGGCTAATATAGAAAACCTAAACGAGAAAGATGATGTTGCATTTAGTTAAAGAAAATTTAATGGGGATAATAACACTTGAAAAAAATATTTTATTACATAATTTTTGTTGTACCCCAGTGGGTACGGGGTTGTCCAAGAATACACCCATGGTAAGTGATGCCTGTCGTAAGAGGCGACTCAAATAAAATCCAAAGAAGTAATAAATAATAAAAGAAAAGAGGCTTAATAAATATTGGGGGAACAGCCTATAAATTGATGTTTGGAGTTATGGATGATGACGACAGGCAAGACGTTGTGGACCATTTGAAAATTATTGAAGAAAATAGTCATAATGCTATTGTAAACTTAAATAAACAAATAGAAATTAAGGAACATTTAAATAGATCATAAAGCCTTTTAAAAGATAATATAGAATCAGATAGGGAAAAAATAATAGAAACTCTAAAAAAAAAATGTTTATATAAATACCAAATGAGAAAACTCTTACATTTCTTCATATTCATCTTCGTCCCAAATGCTGCAATTTTGCATGTTTACATACCCATTGAGCCAGAAATGGGCCCCATCGCTGAAATAAATTTGGCTCGAAAACGTTGGATCTTCTTGAAACTTTTCAAAAGCCTATAAAGCGAAGCGATGTCGTTTGGGAAGCGGCTTCAGTTCTTGCACAAGCTGTATTTTGTACGCTTTCAATATAAGATCTCGACGTGAAATGCGCCAAGTCGTTCCATACGTCAGTCCGAGTTTCTGCCGAATCGACTCTCCACGGTCTTCGTGTACACTCTTAGCTACGGCCGCAGGACGTGGTCTATTCGGTCGAATATTATCCAATAATGAATGCTGGGTATCAAGATGGGTGATGGTGTTGCGAATAGTACCCTCAGTAGGTCGACCATAAGTTAAGCGAATTATATATTTGTGAATGGTAACTGTGGATCTTCAGGAACAAACACTGAACTAAAAACACAACTGGTTTCTTCTATTTAGGAAATAAGACTGCCTCTCCCATCAGATCAACAACTCGAGCTTGCTGCTATGTCCGGCTGTACCGCACATTCCAGCAAGCTCAAAATATGCTGAGTTTGCTGTTTGGAGCACGTATTGCCGGATCATGCGATGTGGTGCAGTGCATGCCGTCTTTATACATAATTCCCCCAAAGCCACTCTGAGAAGTCTCCTGACTTCTTTTATTTATAATTTTAAAACTTACATTTTTATTTATTTTTCTTAAGATGAGAATAACAATAGTTATACTTATTAATGTAATGATAATTACGGTGGCGTAATGCCATAAGATACATTCCTATGATATTTTAACTCTTCTATTTTCTTGATGTTTTTAAAATTATTTAGTACAATATAATCAAAGCTTATTTTTGTTTCATAAGTTTGGTTCAACATCCTCACAGGATGTACAAGTTTCTCAATGAATTTGGTTTTGTTGTTACTAAAACTTTCTTGATTAATTTTTTTTTACAATTTGCGAAATTTATTTTATAATTATTTTGCCATTTGAAGTTTCTTTCATCACAAGTCTGAATGAGGCTTTCAATATGTGCATTCTTTGTGATTAAGGTGTCATCACTTATTTCTTGAATTAGTGAATATATTGTAGTTTATTATACATAAATTCACAATCATCAGAAAAGATACAATTCTATCTCAGCTTGAATTTTTTAAATACAATATTTTTCTTATACTTATTTATTATTACAATTAATTCATCTTCTTGATTTATTTGCAAGTTTTGTTTATTTGGTAATGTCGTAATTAATTTTACATTTTCTTTAAATACATTGGGCCGTTAATTAGCATTTTTTTATGTTCCACTATTATGTACTATTATGCTCAAATTCTCATCCTCCTCTTCGGGGCCTAACTTCTCTGCTTTAGCTAATTTAAGTGGCCTCTTTATGTTTGCTACATTAATGTTTTGCAGGGGGGTAATACGGTTCGTCGGGGCGGATATACGGTTCGTCCTTATGTCGTACACGTTTGTAGTTTTTTATTGGGCCTGACGATCTTAGTTCTTCGTAGTCCTCTCTGTACCTACTTCTTTCTTGTATTGTGTGTTGTTTCAATTCCTGTTAGTTTTGCTACAATACAATAAATAAATGTATTTTGTATATTTAAAAATTCGTATTTTAAACTTCTCGTAAAAGTATGCTTGAAATTATTTTAATGACATAATTTAAATTAATATAAGTTTATAAAAGTATGCTTCGAATCTAAAAAATTCACTTGCCGCTTTTAGTATAGTCAATGCTCACTACGCTACTGTTCTTTTTTGTTATTGCCCTTACTGCTATTGTTGCTTGCTGCTACTGCTGTTGTTACTACTGTTGTAGGTTTATTATAAAACTTGCTGTTATTTCGACTGGCGTACGGTTTTCAGCAGGAAAATCTCAGGAATCGCATTGGTTTGTTTTTTGTTTTATAAATACAAGTATATCACTTTGTAAACGATTGTGTTCAGTCCTTTGAATTTTCCAAATAAAACTGAAAAAGTTTGAAAAAGTTCTATTAAGCTTTCACTTTTCTGCGCTATATAACATTTTGCATTGTTGAATTGATATTGATATTTAAAATAATTATTAAGTAAAATTTTTTTGTAGTTTAAAATCACAGCACCTGATTCTGCTTTTCTTTTAACTGCTTTGATTGTGAACTGAAACGAGGAACGTCGACACTTATATTTGTGAATAGTAACTGTGGATCTTTAGGAACAAACACTGAACTAAAAAGCCAACTAATTTCTTCTCTTTAGCAAATAAGACTGCCTCTCCCATCAACAACTCGAGCTTGCTGCTATGTCCGGCTGTACCGCACATTCCAGCAAGCTCAAAATATGCTGCGTCTGCTCTTTGGGTCACATATTGGCGGGTCACATCATGCGATGTAGTGCAGTACATGCCGTCGTTATACATAACTCGCGCGAAACACATTCTTTACAGAACGCAAATTTTCGTAATAAAGTTAAACGATTGTTAACATTGTTTAAACGTAAGTCTTTCTATGAAATGCCAAACAATACCAAACAAAAATAACATAACAGCTTGACATGACTCAAAAGGCCAAGGTTTGACTCTTGCGAGAGTATAAAACTTAGCCTTTCCGTACTTGTTTTAATATAGAGTTTTACCAACAATAGAAAGTTTTTCTCCGGATTGGTTCTTTGAAATATGTGAGATTATAAAATATTTCGTTGTACCCGAACTTAGCCTTTACTTTTATGCTATGTATAAATTATCGGTCATTGTGTGAAATGGTTTGGTTAATCTACATGTTCAAAAAATGAGTGTACCTATTGTTCGGTTCGACGTTTTTAACGCTTTGGCTAAAAAAAGATAAACATTTATTCAAAGAAGTGTCAAGCACCCGCAAAAGATGCATGTTTATGTATGCTTCTCTGCTCATGGTTTCAGTGTTTTGAGGTGCTTCACAGAAAGCCTAAAGATGTCAGGCTATACAAGTACAACCCGGGAGACTGAAGCAAGTATTGAAGAAATGTCAGCTATAACAGAAAAATATACTCTGTTTAATTACAGCATTTCGTAAAAATGCGACCCACACTTTGGAAAACGAAACCCTAATTTTTTGGACGCACTGTTATATGGTGAAAATCTTGCTTGTTGAGATAACCCTTCCTCTCAGAGTTGAATTTTTAATTTTCCTTGCAAAGGGAAAGATTGTCAGGTTAGTACATTTTTATAATTTCATAATAATAATGTTGAATTTGAACATTTTGCAAAGTTTAAATTTTAAAGTGTTTTCCCCTATTTTTTTACAAAAAAAATATTATATTTTTTTCCCATCTTACATAATATTAAAGGACGTCTTAGGAGCCTAATTCTAACCGAATTCGGTGCGTAGCGCAACCCTGACATTTTAAGTGATATTGTGAAAATGTGTGAAATCGAACCGCCTACTACCCATATATAAAAATTTTAATTCCATCTAAATCTCTCATTTACAGAATATTAATTGAGAGCCAATGACTTTATCTAAGTAAAACTTTGCTCAAATTGTGCTTTTGAGATACGCAGTTTCACGTCTAAAAATTTACGAAATCGGACGATAAATTTTCATGCTGTCATATACGAATGTTTGGACCCCCATTAATATGGCTGTCTACCGAAATTATCGGTCAGCCATTGAGACACAGGTTGGAGGAAAAGTTGGTTGGTCACACCAAAAAATAGCACTAATAGCTCTTATTTTTTTATTTTCTCAAGTTGGTACATCTGTTTCAATAAAAACTGGATAAAAAAAAAATTTCTCAGCATAATTTGGAGCGTTTTAAGTAGAATAGAACCGATTCCTTGCGTCGTTTTATAACTATGGATGAGAGAGATGAGATCTAACACGATAATCCTAAATTGAAACAAGAACGTTTACAGTTGACCAAAGCTGGTTGTTCAGCTCCAAACCAGGTGAAGTCACAACGATCAGCAAAGAAGGTTATCGCATCAGTTTTTTGGGATGCAAAAGGAATTTTGTTGATTGATTATCTCCAGAACGGTAAAACAATCAACTCTGAATATTATTGCAGTCGCTTGGATTAGCAGGATGAAAAAATTCGTTAGAAAAGACCTGGTTTACAGCACAAAAAAATTAATTTTCATTAAGACAATGCACTTGCTCACAAAGGTGTTTTAACAATGACAAAATTCAACAACTTAAAAACCGAATTGCTTGAATATCCACCGTATTCAGCAGATTTAACTCTCAGCGACTACTACCTCTTCAGAAACCTGAAACAATTCCTTTGTGGAAAGCGTTTTTCGTCGAATGAAGAAGCTTTGCAGCCGTAGACGGGTATTTTGCAGAGCTTCCGGAAAGTCATTAAAGGGATGGCATAAAACTATTGGAGGATCATGGGAATACATAAGTGTATTGAAGTTAAGGGAGATTATATTGAATAAAAAAATATACATATTTCGTACAAAAAACAGTATTTTTTCATTTCGAGCTCACAAACTTTTCAACCAACCAGTATATTAATGAAGTTCAGAGGTCATCGTTTCCTGGTAATAGTGTGCCACGATGTCAAATATAAAGGTCGATAGTTCCTCTAGCCCCCATATAGATATATAGATATTTATCTAGCAACCATATACCTAATACAGTTATTTTCGGATTTCATTTCGATTTAAACATTTTATTAAGGTGTCTATAGGAGATTTTTTAATGATATTAAGTATTTTCTTAACCACTAGTTGCATATGATTAAAGTCGGCTTAAACCACACCTCCTAATATAATTATACTCTGGCAACATGTTACTACAGAGTTCACCTAACGGTTGTTTGTATCACCTAAAACTAATCGAGTTAGATATAGGGTTATGTATATGCAAATAATCAGGATGAAGCGACAAGTTGAAATCCGGGTGACTGTCTGTCCGTCCGTCCGTCTGTACAAACTGTAACTTGAGTAAAAATTGAGATATCTTTATGAAACTTTGTACACTGGTTTCTTGGTACCGTAAGACGGTTGGTATTGCAGATGGGCGTAATCGGACCACTGCCACGTCCACAAAACGCCATTAATCAAAAACAAATAAATTGCCATAACTAAGCTCCACAGTAAGATACAAAACTGTTATTTGATACACAGGATCAGATTAGGGAAGGACATCTGCAGTTTAAAATTTTTGCTTAAAGTGGGCGTGGTCCCTTTCCCAATAAGTCTTATGTACATTTCTCCTAAACCGCTAAAGTTATAATAACAAAATTCACGGAAAGGAGTTTGACGCGATTGAATTATGAACACTCCGGTGTTGAACCGACCAACTTTATTTTTTTGAAGCGCGGCCGAAGGCCACCAGTGCGGAAAAGAGTTGGTGGTTGGATCGGGTGACAACCCCGCCCAATCCCCATATAATGGTACTGTTGAAAACTACTAAGAGGGCGATAAATCAAGCAATAAACACGACAGAGACATTAAATTTTAATCGCTTAACCGATTTCAACCAAATTCGGTACACACCATTCTTTTCATATTTCTATGTTATGTTATATTTCTATGTTATCGGCGAAATGGAATTACAACCACGCCTATTTCCCATGTAACACCTTTTTAAATTCCATCTGATTCTTTCACTTTCCACTATGCAAATCAAGCAACAATTATTGTATTGGGATAAAACTTTGCGTGAATAATGCGTTTAAAGTATGCCACCTTGGGACAAAAAATCTAAATCGAACTAAAACTGTTCAAGCCCTTTGGTACTGAATATATGGATTCCAGTGCCTATAGTTGAACCGAAAATACCGGTCAATGTGTAACATATATAATTTAAATTTATAGATTAAATAAATAAATGAAACTCTAGATAATAGTATGATTTTGTGTCAAAAATGGGTTGAACCGGATTAGTACTTCCTTTAATATAAAATTTTGCCAACACTTGAAGTAATTTCCCAGGCTTTGATCCTTGCAAGTTGCCCGAACTTAGAACTGCCTTACTTGTTTTGTATAATAATTGTTCAGACTGGACCATTAAAAATTTGGGTGCCATTCAAACTTACTGATCAAAATTCAGATAAAGATCTTGGCTTAAAAGAAATATCAGAACGTTTTCAGGTGGATACAACCGAATAACCTCTCAAGAAATATTCTAATGGTGTTAAACCAGGACTTCTTGGAGGCCATTTAATGTCACAATTTATTAAAATTATCGAGTGGATGTTGTCAAAATCAACTTCTTTCAATTGCGGCCATGAAAAGTTGGTTATCATCAATCTATACCGCTCTCCATTGACAGTAACGGTGTTACCAGATTCATTTTGAAAGAAGTTTGAACCGATTTTTCCACCAGACTAAAAGCCACACCAATTTGTTAATTTAGGTGAATGTAATGGTTGTTCATGAATAATATGTGCATTTTCTTCGCATCAGAATCGACAGTTTTGTTTATTTACTGCACCACTCAGATGAAAGTGAGCCTCATCAGAGAAGATAGTTTTCTTAAATTCTCATCGTTTTCAAGTTGTTAGACGGCAAAATTAGCAAATTCAACACGTTTGCGGTGATACCATGTCTTCAGTTATAGAGTGAGAACAATTTCATTATCTATATCTGAGGATACGTGTTGAAATCCTCGTGACTGTCTGTCCGTTCGTCCGTCCGTCTGTGCAAGCTGTAATTTGAGTAAAAATTGCGATTTCTTGATGAGACTTGATATACACTTTTCTCGACACCGTAAAACGGTTGGTATTGTAGATGGGCGTAATCGAACCATGACTATGCCCTCAAAACGCCATTAATCTAGTAGTTATAAATAGCCATATCTAAGCTCCACAATAAGATAAAGCTCTAATGGGTTTAATGCACATACTTGTATCTCCTAAGCCGCTAAAGCTATAATAACCAAATTTACACAGGGCAAATATATTTAGCACCCTACAGTGTGAAAATGGGTGAAATGCGATAAATCTATGAATAAATGCGTCTGAGGCACAAGATCTCGAGATGGTACAAGAGGGCTTTTGTAAAGCCGTTGTCAAAATTGGACTTTGCGCGTAGCACCGCCCACATGTAGGTGAAAACCCATACCTCAGGACTAACGCGACCGATTTCAACCAAATTTGTTAAGAATTATTATTCTGATATTTTAATGTTGCAGTACAGAGTATCGGACTACAACCATTCCTACTTTTCATATAACACAATTTTTAATTTCATCAGATTCGTTCACATTCCAAAAAAATGAATACTATTCAAGTTCCTAGATACCGAATATGTGGACCCCAATCCTAATAGATAAATTTTCGAACTTCCGGCTGAGTTCATACCACATATACGAGTATCAGATATTATGTAAGTTATCTTATTTACTTAAATTGAGTGAGCGTGTTTTTCTCCTATCAGTACATCTGTGTGCCTAAAATGAATAAAAACGTGTGACAACCAGTCCTGGCTCCTGTATAACTAATATCAGAATTTTCAAACATCGGGGTAACTTTACTCTTTATATTATATGTTGTTGATGCTATGTGAGGTACCTTAATGAAACCCAGGGAGTTAACAATATGTAGTAATGCCAAAAATATCGTAGATTAAATTGGGTTAACACTACACCTATCTTCCATATGCCTAATAAAAGATTTTCAAACCTCCGGTTAGCCTTATACCGTATATAATATCAAAATGTAAGATATTTTAGCAAAATTAACTGAACGTATAATATAAAATATGTCAAATTATATTGTACCACATATAATAATGTCCGTTATCGTAACAAACCTTATTATATTAATGGTTTAGCGCGAAACATGAATGGAGTTGGTATACCCCTTGGTCTTAATCTCATGTCCCTAATATTATCAATTCCGATCTTCCGGTTTACAAGTACAAGTACACAACATATTAAATGTAGCCCATCCGGTTAAGTTTATGTTAAGTACAACTCATTTGAGGATGATTTTAATATCATTTTCACTGGCGGGAAGTAAAATATAGTTTTAAAACTAATTGAGTTTATGACCTATAATATAACTTAATAAATACAAAATGTGAATGTAATTCATTCACGATTTCGTCAAATAATGAAAGTTGAACTATTTCGCAAGATTTTTTCCTTACTTTGGAGTTATGTCAACAGCTGACGATATTTCCCCTGCTTTGTTCATTATAAGTTGCAAGAGTAGAAAGTGTTCGGTTACACCCGAACTTAGCCCTTTTTACTTGTTAAGCAGAAATTCGTGCATAACCAAATATAAAATGGTTTAGTAAATTGCTTCCAGATATATGATAATGTGGGTATTTAAATATTTTTTGCAATAGATAAATGTAGCGTAAAAGCATTTGGAATTACTGTGAAAGTGTTTGTGTGAGTTAATGAAACACACTTCTATTTGGATATCATCAAAAATGTATATTCAATAATCTAGCAGTGTGATATCATGCATTAATATACTTTCGTCACATGTTGCTGCAGAATATATTAGTTTTATTCATTTAATAGGACCCTCCGGGTGACTCCACGTCCATTCAAGTGTTAACCTGAATAAAATGTGAGGTATCGCGATAAAACTTGATACACTTGTTCTTTGGCACCCACTTAACTGACACTGACATTAAACCGCTAATGTTGTTCAATAAGAGTGTTATTTCAGCGATAAGAAATGTATATGTTTTCTTAGATACAATGAAATTTAGGGTTCAATATGAATGAATTCGTTATAGACCGTGGTCGAAGTCCCTTAGCTCTAATATATTGATTTCCGTTTCTCTGGTTGACCTTTTCTCTACATATTAAATGTCGTAACTTTGGTTGAGATTATATCGCATATATTAAATCTGTTGGGTTAATTAGGTTAATTTTTATACATATACATATCTCGGTGATGAAGCAAAATATAGTATTGAAACTAAGTGAGTTTCCTGTAATCCTTCTTCTGAATGTTGGATTCTTTCGCAACATTTACTTAATATATATATAACTTAATAACTTTTCTCCGGACATGTTCCATTAGTGGACAGCTCTTTTTTCTATGCGATTTTAGCAGTCAAAGTTGTTTTTCATTTTAAGTAGAAACGACTTCTGTGGCTGTTTATATATTCATAAACTTCGATGACAATACAAAATACTGTCACCAAGGTTGTCTTAGATAGCAAGGTTTATGAGGAAATATCTTTATTTAATTTATAATGTTTTAGATAATTAAACAATTTATTTCGAGAAAGAAGGAAAGACAGCAAAGCTCCGATCTGTACTCATTTAACAGATTAAAAAATTGAGCTTTACAATTACCTCCGTTTCTAAAAACTTAAAACACAAAATAGCATAAGTATAGAATTGTTCCTATTAAAAAGTTTGAATTAAAATGAAAATACGCTAATAATATTATGCTGTTTTAAAATGTTTCCTATTCCCATTTTGGTTAAAATTGCATTTTCACTAACAGCAGATAATCTGCGTATGTGTGCAAATGTTAAGAGCGTTAATAAGAACATTTCCTCGCGCTTAATGTAGCCACTTATTCGCGCATATCCACATACACTTTCTGTTACAAATACACCAAGGAAACAAAAATTTACTACATTTTTAATTTGTTTGCCAATGTTGTTGTTATTGTTGTCTTGCAGAAAAATTACTGGTAATGGCACATTATATTTCCCACCGTTTTTGGCGCAATACTATCGCACAGACGTGCACGAGACGATATATCGCTGTCGAGCAGCCAATGAAGCCGGCACTGTGTTGAGCCGGAACGTGCAGGTGCAAGCAGGTGAGTGCAAGAGCTTTTGACAAAATGTACAACTCTCATACATAAGTATCCATGTGTACAAGAATATCTATGTTGTATATAAAAGCTCTGCTTTAAGCTAAATAGGTTTTGAAGTTTGAAGGAAGATAGAGAGCATTGTTAGAGACGGACAGGATGTGATGAAATTAAACTTATACGGCTGCAGACTTAAAAAAATATTTATCAAAATATTTCGTTCAGCCTTTTACATTTTTGAGTATTTAGTCGAATTACTTACGTGGTGGAAGTAGTCCAAGTACCATATACTAATGGCTAAATCAAGTTCAGTGGACTATTTATTTGTACTTCAATTATTAGCATATACTACAACATTGCTAGCTAGTTTGGCTTCGTTGTCTTTCTGGTATGTGGGCAGTTGATGGGTTAACGCCTAGGCCGGTGAGGCCCGGGTCTAGGGCAGGTTTACAAATAATGAATTTAAAAAATAATTGAATAAACATTTAAATTATAAATTTTTCACCGGATTGAAAACTAAAAAAGAAAAATTTAAACCTATAATAATTAAGAATAAAAACAAAATTGTTTTTAAATTAATATTTTTCCGCGTTTGCGCACTTGATTCAAATAAAAAAAATAAAATTATCAATTTTAAATCATAATCCCAAACATCAGGATTAAAAAATGAAAATTAATTTCTAATACACATTTTTTTAATTCAAAAATTCCCAAATTTCAGAACATCAAAATTTTAGAGCCAAAGAAATATACCCAACATTTATTTTAAAAAGTGGCATACATGTTTTTCTTTGTGAATTTATAGAAGATTTTCTACGGACTATTTATAATTAATTTTTCCGTGGACCTTTCAATTCGTGGGTGCAATATTAATAAGTTGATATTTCAATAATAGTCTTTAACGAATAATCTTATTAAAAAGAAACATTCCAATTGATGATAAATGAAATACTAAATAGCTATTTACTTTTGTATCTTTGATAAGATTACTCTTACATATGTATATAAAGCATTTGAAACTATTTATTGGTTTCTATACTCTCGCAAAATGTTGCCTCCGAGTATAATAGTTTTGTTAACTGTACGGTTGTTTGTGTCACCTAAAACTAATCGAGATATATCTGGATATAATTTTAGTAAAACTTGAGTAATCGCGTAATCGCATAATAGCTTCGACCACAAAACACCATGTTCGAAAACCATAGTACCATAGCTAAGCTCCACATTAAGACAACACAGTATGTTGGTACAGCGCCTAGCATTATGTAGCGGCATCTGTGGTGAAAATGTTTAAAATGGGTTAAGTGTACATATCTCACAAGCCACCAGAATTATATCAATCAAATTTGCTCAGGATTTTTTTTTCAAAATGAACTCCCTATTTAACGGTTGTCTTGAAAAGTACTGAATGTACGATAATTCACTAAGTAAATACGTCAGAAGCATTACATTTCACAGCGAAGATGGTTCGGAATGTCTTTTTTCTACTTCATCTTCAGATGACACAAGGTTTTATAGAAAAACGTAGTTAAATTACATGTGCGTACTTTAATTGAGTGACAGAAAGGTACATAATTCTTTAATCAATCACGCGTCCAACTCTCCGCCACCTGACATTGTTGCTCGCTTGTATTTTTTCAGTACAAAAAAGTTATCAAAATTGTGCGCACGAGTTAAGGAACGTATTATTTATAACATTATATCACCAAAATATCCTAAGCAAACAAACATCAAAACAGCCTTACGTTTCAGTAAACAATATATATCAAAACAACCTCGTCTTTGAACGAAGATAATGTATCAAAACAACATTAAATAAAATACATCAAAACAGACTAATCTTAAAACAAAGCAAATGTTTAAATATACACAAAAAACAAGTATTTAACCGATTTTATACTCTCGCAAAGTCAAACATTTGAGAAAAAAATATTAATAAAGACTGCCCGATTTATTATTTATTTTATTATATGAATTTCAAATCTACTGTATTGTATATCATATACATTGACCGATATATTCAGTAAAAAGTCAACTGTAGACACTGGGCTTCGCATATTCAGGGCTTCAACAGTTTTGGTACGATTTAAACAATTTTTGGTCACAAGGTGGCATACTTCAAACGCATTATTCAGACAAAGTTTTACCCCGAGACAAAAATTGGTACTTGGTTTGCATAGTGGAAAGTGAAAGAATCAGATGGAATTTAAAATGGTGTTATATGGGAAATATCTCGCAACCTGTTGCTACAGAGTATAATAGTTTTGTTCACCTAACGGTTGTTTGTATCACCTAAAACTAATCGAGTTAGATATAGGGTTATATATACATAAATGATCAGGATGAAGAGACGAGTTGGAATCCGGGTGACTGTCTGTCCGTCCGTGCAAGCTCTAACTTGAGTAAAAATTGAGATATCTTTATGAAACTTGGTAGACATGTTTCTTGGTACCGTGAGACGGTTGGTATTGCAGATGGGCGTAATCGGACCACTGCCACGCCCACAAAACGCCATTAATCAAAAACCAACAAATTGCCATAACTAAGCTCCGCAATAAGAGTTAAACATTTTTTTTAAAGTGGGCGTGGTCACGCTCTAATAGATTTAATGTGCATATCTCCTAAGCCGCTAATGTTATAATAACCAAATTCACTGGAAGCAAATGTTTTTAGAACCTCTACCTACAGTGTGAAAAAAGTTGAAATCGGATAGCAACTCCGCCCACTCTCCATATAACGGTACTGTTAAAAACTACTAAAAGCGCGATAAATCAAGCACTAAACACGCCAGATTCATTAAATTTTATCTATGGATGGTATGAAATGACTTTATAGGAACCGCGTTCAAAATTAGACAGTGGGCGTGGCACCGCCCACTTTTAGGTGAAAACCCATATCTTGAGATCTGCTTAACCGATTTCAGCAAAATTCAGTGCATAACGTTCTATTCATATTTCTATGTTATAGTGCGAAAATGGGACTACAACCACGCCTATTTCCCATATAACACCATTTTCAATTCCATCTGATTCTTTCACTTTCCACTATGCATATCAAGCAACAATGATTATATCGGGGTAAAACTTTGCGTGAATAATACGTTTAAAGTATGCCACCTTGTGACCAAAAATTGTCTAAATCGAACCAAAACTGTTCAAGCCCCTAAGTACTAAATATGTGGACCCCAGTGCCTATAGTTGACCTTCTACCGAGAATATCACTTCCTTACTTGTTTTAACAATGAAATTCTTATATTCAGTCGGCATTAGATTGTAATATTTCATAGCTACATAATACGAATTTTTACTATATACTGTTTTGTTGACTTTACATTACTTTTTTATGCCTTGACCTTCCCTTATAGTTGATGTTGAATTACATTTCTGTAAGCACATTTTTAAGGTCTTACTTTCCATGATTTGTTTTAATTTATGAATTATAAATTCGAAATATCTGACTTTTTTAATTACATCTTTTACATGCATATCCCATTTCATTAGGTAATCGATGTTTATTCCTAGATTCTTATAATTGTTCACTCTTTTTATTTCTTTGTTGTTTATATTTAATATTAATTTATCTGGGATATTACGTTTATTACCACAGAAAGTTATATATACTGTTTTATCAACGTTCATAGTTAGTTGATTATTTCTTAGCCATTTACAAACATTTGATAATCATCTTGGTTTTAACATCATCCCAGTTTTTCTCAGTACATAAAATAGCAGTGTCGTCCGCATATGAAATTATTGACCCTCTTTCTATATATTTAAATATATCATTATTACACAATACAAAAAAAAAGTGGACCTAGGATTGTACCTTGAGGCACACTTATTTTTATATACCTATTTATCGCTACTTACACTATCTCTATATCTAGTTACTTGAGTTCTTTCACTCAGATAATCTTTTATTAAGTCAAGTGCTATCCATTTTATACCATACTTTTCTAATTTATCTATTAGTATCTTGTGGTTCACTGTTTCGAACGCTTTGGCTAGGTCTAGGAAAGCTATGGCAGTTTTATTATATTTATACAAATTTTCATATATGTAACTAGTAATATAAGAGTGTGCATCTGATGTACTTTTGTTCTTTAGGAAACCATATTGCCTATCTGAGAAAATATTGCACTTCTCCATTAAATCGTATATTCTTTTATGTATCAGCTTTTCAAACAATTTAGCTATATTAGATATCAAAGACATCGGTCTATAGTTACTTGGATTATCCTTTTTACCTGTTTCAAAAATCAGTACTATCAGCGCTGATTTCAGAGCTTTTGGCAAAATTCCTTTAGAAATACATAGATTAAAAATATATTCGAGAGGCTGGCTAACCCAGTGATCTAAGTTTTTTGTTATCTTAGTACTAATCTTATCTCTTCCACCCGCTTTGTCTTTCATTTTATTTATAGCTTTTAAGATTTCATACTCAGTTATCGGTTGTATAAAGATCGATTTACTATTATGTGGAATGCCATTTGACGCATTGTTTATTATCATTTTATCTAACCCCTTATTATTAGCTAATTTGATACCTACTTCACTAAAAAATTCATTCAATGTATTTGCAATATCTTCTGTAGTCGTTACTATTTTATCGCTTACATTTAGACATTCAATTTTAGTTTAATTTTTTTCATTTCTACTTAACTTTATATTTAAGTATTGCCATAATTTTTTGCTATTATTTATATTTGAACTTTATTTAATTATATTTTAGCACATTTAATGACTTTGTTTAGCATTTTACAATATTGATTATATTCCTTTTTAGTATTTACATTGTTTTTATCTAACTTCGTTATATTATATAAAGTTTCTTTTTTATATCAAGATATAATGATTCCCTTAGTTATCCAGTTATTTCTTGGAATATCGTCTTTCTTTTTATTCTTGCCGCTATTTTTTACTATAGCTTTATTTGTTAAATTCTTTATTTCATGTATCAATGTTTCCAAAGCTTGATTTGTATCCTGTATTTCTAATATATTTGTCAAATCAGTACTATGACTCAGTGTATTTAGTTTTTTATAATCTATAGTCTTCTTGTAATTAGTTTTTCTTTTTTCGCTTTTCAAATCTATTGATATCAGGATTGGATAATGGTCTGTAAAGATATTCGTGTATGTATAAGATTTTATACTCATTATTGACGATTTAACAAATATATTGTCAATACAGGAGCCTTCCATGTTTTTAGAATTAGGTCTGGTAATTCCACTAAAGCAAGGAATATAGCCTGCTTCTAATAGATTTGTTAAAAAATGTAGTAGAATTATTATGATTTCAGTATATCAATATTAAAATCTCCAACTATACAGTGGTATTAAATTTTTTTACAACGGACTAAATAATTGTAGAAATCTTTAATACAATTTTCTTTAGTTATATCATGACTTCTGTATAATCCTGAGATTTTAATATATGAATCGTTTACAGTTTGAATAGTAGTTGTTAGTATTTTACAGGATCCTATCTCCTCTGTCTTAGTTTCTTGTATCAGAGACGATTTTACGTAGATAACCCCTCCATTGGCTTTGTTGATACTTCCTTTATTATAATATGTATTTAAATGATGCTAGAGTTCCATGTTTCAGAGCATGCAATTACATTTGGTTTATTACCCATATTTTTAATCAACACTTCAACATTACTATGGTTAGATTATAAAGCTCTGACATTTAGTTGTATTATATGCATATCACTTGGCAACAATATTTTATTCAACTCTTGCATACTATTCACTTATCTTTCTATATTATTTGCTTCTTTATATTCACAAAAGTCTTCCATTTAAATCGCTTAATAAAAATTACTTCCTGTTTGCACTTGAGGATAAAATATGTATCACCAGCTAATGAAATCAAACTACTTTACCCGGTTTTTTACCTAACGGTAAACTGTTTCTTTCAGTAATTTTTGAATTTTATGATTGATATACTCACAGCCTGATGTGTCATTTTCATTTTGAGAAATAATTTGTAATTATTTTTGGCAATGTTTTCATAAATTCCAGGGGAGATTTCCATTATTATAATTCTCTGTTTACTAGCATTTCTGTTATCAGATATTAAGGAGAAATTATCACTAAACATAACTGAATTTCTGTTTTTTATGTCCTCTTCTATTTCTTGTATACTCATGTCATTTTGTACATCATGTATTTTCACTCTTGGTAGTTTCACTGTTTTTGCATTTATACTAAAATATAGTCCTTATCCATTTTTTCACTTAATAGAGTAGTAGTTCTTGTTACATCTATTTTATTTGGCATTTATTCGTTACTTCTCCATTCTTGTTAGCAAAATTTATTTTAATTGGAACTGCAATATCAACTAGGATCTTATTTCTTACATGTTCCAGAGTTTTAGTATTATTATTATATTTGACTTTAACAATAATATCAGGAACAACCTCTCTAGTGCTGCTGTTATCTTTTTTAATGTTATCAGCATAACTGGTTACATCTTGGTTAATTATATTATTATTTTTGCGTGCAAGTAATTCCTGTAGAAGCGCATTTTTATCTTGTATTTCTTGATTGAGCTGTTTTAATAGCTCGATTTCTACTCTTAGCAGAGCTAAATCATCTTCGATTACTGTGTTGTCCAGCAGTAATGTATCCTTGGTAAGACTTGAGGTAATGCTTTTGTTAATATCTTCCTTACATTTTTCTTTTTCGTATAACTTTATTCCTGTAATTAGCAATCTCGCCTCTTCGTTCAATTCAATGTTTACATTATCTGTGTCTGAGGTTATATTGCCATGGTGCTCTGGACATATTACGAACATTTCACTTATAAATTTGACTTTTCCTTTGGATAACCGATTAAAGTCATTAACATGATACACATATTCGCACACTAAACAAATCACTATTTTAGGTACTCTCAAATTTGAGTGACATTTAAAAACTTTACCGCTTTCATCCGCGATTTCAGTGTCGCCCGCCATAATGTTGGCAGATCTGATATAATGCACTGCTAACAAATACTCACAACGTCGATTCTCTGAGTTTCACCAGAGAACTTAAATGTTGTTTTAAACTTAAATTGTTTTAAGTTCTCTGGTTTCACACTGTTCAAAATCCGATTCGCACGCTTTATGTATTCTTCCTAACACCTCTTTAATGCGGTCTTTGCTTTGTGTACAATTTTCTACACATACGATTCTACTTCAACCGAAATTCACATACGAAACACAGTTTCTCACCGAATGCAAAGTACGACGAAATTTAACAATTCGACAACGAAGAATAATGTTATTGAGATAGACGAAAAGCACGTAGTCTTTTTGCGTATTTGAAAATTTCTTTTAATTGAGTTTACGTGCAAACTATTGCAAATATCCACTTCAATTCAATTGTACAATGTCACTGTCAAGTTTATTCAGCACCTTCTTATGATTTCACAGTACTTTTGACCATAATTCAATGGTATTTCGCGAAAGATCTCGTCTTACGAGCGAGCATGTGGCCGACGCCGTTGATTGTAGAAAATGGTATCAATTAAGAGTACACATTTCGGTGCAGCTTAACTCACGCATGCCGAAAATCGTGCGAAACTCGTTTATAATAAAGATGCCTAAAATAAGAAGAAAAGTAACTGCGCTTGGTACTGCATTTGGTGCTCATAAAAATTTAAGGCACGATATTCTGGGTACATAAATATTTAGATATAATGTTATTTATCGGTCGGAAACAACCCTTATGCTATGAAGATAACTCAGATAGTAGCCGCTGATGTGAACTCTTGAGAAGGCATCTATTCCCGCAATATCTCTGCAGCAAATCTTTGGCCGCTTAATTTAGAATCATAACAAGTATAAGAATATAAAAAATGTCATCACGTTGACACGAAAACGAAGGCATTAAAAATTTTCTTCGACATTTATACTTGCAACTCTGGGCTCCGCTTGTGATGGAACAGGAATATCGGATAGATCAGCCTCCATGATTATTGGTGCAGTACTTAAAGATGTTGGCCTCATTTCAAAACAAGGCTGCTCAAGAATTATTGTTCGAAGTGGATGGCGTCGAGAGGTGCTACTGGCTACTATTACTGCCAACTATTCAGGACATTAGCTGTAGCTAATTTTAAATTAATGGAGACTATTTTGCATGATGTGAAACCGACAATTCTCTGATCTGGCGAATACGCAGCCAGGAAAAGCCCACTCACATTGACCAACTTGTGCTAATTGTATACTGAGGCTCTACGTCGGGACTAACAATCCTTGTCAGAACTTAGTCGATTTAACAACATTTGTCATCAAATTTTATACGTTAATGTGATTTTCAATAATAACTAAACCATACCACCACTAAACCATCTGGTCCATATGGACCAGCATACATTTTAAACATGATCAAGAATAAAAAAATAAAAATATGAAATCGACGAAAGAAATTCCTGTATTCGATTTATACTCACGCAATATGTCAAAGGCCCGAAATACTTTCAAAGTTTACATTAAAAAATGTTGCGAAAGAATTAAACATTCTTTATTCGACGAAACCGTAAATGGATTACTATCATATTTGGTATCTGATTAACTTATATATTATACTTGTATAACGATTCTGTGAAATGCCACACATATTAACCAATACGGACATTAACCTTTTTCGACACTGGCACTTTCACTTTGACCACTTTCGGCACTTTTTTGTGTCATCGCGGGTATAAAATTTTTAGTCTCTGACGCATTTATTTATTAATTTTTTTTAACTTTTAGCAGTTTTCAACTTAACGGTTATATGTAGAGTTGGTAGGTCACCCGTTTTCACACTATTAGAGGAGATGTCGAAAAGATTTGTCCAAAGCAAATTTGGTTAATATGGCTCTTGTACTTTGCGTGATGTCTATATTAAACCTATAAAAGGGCGGGATCACGCCCACCTTTTTGCCAACCACAAATGCCCTCCCAATGCGATTCGTTGTATTGAATTACAGTTTTGTATTTTATGTATTGAGAATCTTAGTTATGACACTTTATATTTTTCCGATTATAGCTGTTATGTTATGGGCGTGGAAATTGTCCTTATTTGACTCAGAAAATATGTTGGTAGACGATATATGCTTGTAGCAGGTGTCACACGTTGACTGAGACTATGTTATTAATGTTTGGTTTGAATGATTTGCGGCTAATTTATCTTAAAAAAATATTCTCTTATAATTTCGTCTTTATACTATGTGGCAATTACAGGGATTCGACCATGATCTGAACGCCAATTCAGAATGGAATCTTCGTAACAAGTAGTGCGCACTCTTCTTCAGGAAAAGATACCAGTCGCTTCTATCAGTAATACTCGTACTAGCGTTAGAAATACAACTAATTCGAAGCGCGATATGTAAAATGTAAATTACATTTAAGTTCGTACGCCAAAATTCATACAAATAAAGTTATATGCGTGGTTATCATTCAATTTAATTTTCACACTGTATGAGGAAATGTCAAAATAATTAACCCTCAAAAGTTGGGTCTATCTAACTTGTATGGATTGTGAGATATGTATGTACATTCATTATTCGACGTACCGCGCATTACAATCATATTTGGTATCGTATTAACCTACATTTTTGATCATAGACTCACTCAGTTTCATTACTACAAGTATATTGTGCTTCGTGTCGTGTTTAAATCAATCTAGTTAACTCAAGTATGTGCTATAACCAAATAGGTGAAATTTAATATACGAATTAGGTATAGGTATAAGGAAAATATCTGAATTATACTGCATATAATAAATTTCGTTTTTCTAACAAGTTTTATGTCAAATATGTCGTTATATGTCCCAATATACTCCATATAATGACTGCCGTTGGTTAAAATGTGATACATTAATGAAATTAAGTAGACAAGTTTTCTTAAAAATTATGTGGTTTATCATCAACTCAATTTATATAAGATTTAACCCCGATCAGTCGAGATAGTATCACATACATATATCTCAGTGAAGGTGTTTTTAATATAACAATAAAACTGAGTCTAAGTTTATGGCCTTCCATATAAGTCAAGAAGATACCAAATTTGATTGTAATTTATTTACGATTTCATTGAATATGGAATGTTTAATTCTTTCGCAACATACTTCCTTCCTTACTTGTTTAATATAAGTTATACAAGTTATACAGGGTTTTCCAATAAGAGTGACATGATTAAAAAAAAAAAAACAGAAAGAAATTCAAATGTTTTTTATTTAATGTGAAGTACAATTGATACAATTAGGCTTTGAATATAACGTCATTCAAATGGCCTCCACAACTTTTTTTACAGGAACAAATTCAATGAACCCAATTTTCGAGTACTTTTTCCACTAAATCAAGTCGTATGTCATGAATAGCACGTTTAATATTGACTTTTAAAGTATGAAGAGAGTCTGGTTTATTGCTAAAGACCAATGACTTCAAATAACCCCACAAGTAGTAGTCTAATGATGTTAAATCACAACTTCTTGAAGACCATTTAATGTCACAATTCCTTGAAATTATCGAATCTCAAGATCAACTGCTACTACTACCACAACTACTACTATACAGGTTCTTGGCTTCAGTTCTTGAGTGAGAACAATTTTACATGGATGCACAGGATGGTTATATCCTTATGATAATCAAACAAAACCAAAGAAATAAATTTCTTACTTACATATGATAAATTGATGTCTTTCTCTGACAAGTCATGTCCCTTCTCAATTAACATGATTCAAAGATTAGCGGATGATGTATGTATATACATTAGGTTGTCCGTTATTTACTAAGTTGATTTTCTTTGCAAACGCCCCCGGAGTTTCAGTGTTGGCATTAAAAACAAGGATTCATTACAAGTATAAACAAGCTCTTCATTTTAAATTTATACAGTATGTATACTCACTCATTTTCACTTAACACTCGTGCCGGTAGTATTTTAGAAAAATTGCATCTTATTTAATATAATACTTTAATTTCGAAACCCTTGTTTTACCAACTTTTATTTCGCAAACTGGTGTTTTATAATTATTTATTTCACAACCTTTAGTTTATAATCTAATAATTTACAATAGCTTATTTCACAAGTTTTAGTTTATAATCTTATTATTTACAATATTTTATTTCAAAGCTTTTATTGAAATCTTTTATATTTAATTATTAGTTCACTTTAAAGAGTGTACGACGTTCGGTTTATCTCGGACGGAAATTGAAAAATGTGTCGCTTTCCGCATGGGATTGGCGATTTCCTCTACGTCCTTTTCTATGGGAATAAGGATACATGTTAAAAATGTGGTTTTGTTCTTAATTTTGAATATGCTTTTGTTTATATTTGTGTATGACAAGTCATGACATGGTTGTATTAACGCATTTTAGATCACTATAGCATATAGCCGCCATACAAACTGAACGATCGGAATTAAGTTCTTGTAAGGAACCTTTTGTATTTGTAAGGGATATTATAGCTTTGGTGCAGCGGAAGTTAACGTTTTTTCTTGTTTATTAGTGGCATTAGTCGCGGGATATAAAATTATTGTCGGACCGATTGCTACATCAACCGATGTTCATCTTGTAACTATGCTGATGAAGAAATGTTAAGTATAATGTAGTATTTCTCGGCGATAATTATGGGATGTCGTTCATTGTAACTGAGCCTGGAGTTCACCAGTCTTCCATTTGAATGGATCAATCCATCAATCCTTTTGAGTATGGGTTCAATGTGAGAAGTAAGCTGTTCTTACTACTGATATAAGACAGACCTTAATAGTTTGGAGATTTGAGTGCGTGAGTTGTTGTGTTGAGTTGGGCAGAATAATTTGGTAATCTTTTAATATATAATATTATTTAAGTCTTTGGATGAATTTGTGCATATAAGTAATTACTCTTAGTGCCCTAGAAAATGAAGAGAATTTATTCAATATATCATCATCATCGTGCATGGTATTGAAACTTTCGAATTTCCGGAGGAATTATATTGCGAACTAGAGATTTTGACCATGATTCGTGGGATTCTGTTAGCCACGATGGACTGTTCCACCAAAGTGTAGTGTAGTGTAGTGAAGTACAATAGTTTGCAGCCTGTTGTTCCAATATCCCCAGGGTTATTTGCGCGTGATACATGTTGCCATTTTGCTGGGCCATTTAAGTCCAATATTTGTGATATACGATTGGATACATAAGTCTTTCAAGAATAGTATGGATTTTCTAACAAAGCTAAAACGATTTCTGAGTCTCACAAAATATAGAATTTATTATCGGTTAATTTAAGATGAATTTGGACAATTACAACTAATTTTGCTAAAAGAAGGGCACCACTCAATTCAAGCCGTGTCAGGCTTAGTGTTTTCAAGGGTGCAACTTTGGCTTTGGCTACCAAAATTTTGTTAACGTCCGTATAATTTTACATAATTGTTAGGGGCGAAAATTACCCATCGAGGCATTCGAATTCCTGATATTGTATGTAAATTATTAGCAAATTGAAACCATTTGTTAAACTATTAGGTTTTATATGCTCATCTCTTTCACTGCCATCT